TTAACTTGTTTTAATTGCCCCCAAAATTTGATTGTATGGATATACCACATTTAAGATATCCATACATTAGTTGATGGGTTCAATTTCTGACTATCATGAATATTCATGTTCAATACAAGTTTCGTGTAGGAAACTTTCACTTCTCCTAGGTATATATCTGGGAATGGACTTGGTGAACAACCTGAGGACTGCAATGGTTTTCCAAAGAGGTGGCACATTTTACATTAAGAATGCTTATTCTTTTTTTTAGTATTTAATTTTTAGTTGTAGTTGGAAATAATACCTTTATTTTATTTATTTTTTTACTCAGTGCTTAGGATTGAACCCAAGACCTCCCAGGTACTAGGTGAGTGCTCTACTACTGAGCCACAATCCCAGCCCAAGAATGCTAATTCCTGAAGTGTGAAGGTAGATTGTCTTATCTAAGTAATGGGTAACTAACCCAAGCCTGGATGCAAAATAAACAAAGCACAGTCAGGAAAATTAGTGCCTGGGAAAGGGAGATTCTTCTCTCCTTTGTAGTCAACCGAGAACCTGATTAACACCACCCACTCCTACTTTTTAGATTATAAATGACTTCCCCTCAGATCTAATTACTTTTCTTTGAAGTGTGAACAACCCTATGGAGGCTCAAGGCCTAAGGCTAGAGATTTCTCCTGAAGGCCTTGTAAGAGGATTTCTTCCCCTTATCACACAGTTTCTGAAACCCTGTTCACAACCATTTAGACAAGAAAATTTATAACACCAGAGAGCCTATAAATGTTGTGAAAAACTGGTGATTGTAAAGGACGGTGGAAGAGCTCTATATACTCAACAAGCCAAAACAACCGTTTTTCTATCTGAGATTTCATTAGCAGGACCTTAGCGGCCAGATGCAGAAGAGAAGGGGGTTGGGAGAGAGGGGGAGAGAGAGGGGGAGAAAGAGAGGACAGAGGAGGAAGAGAGAGAGAGAGGAGGAAGAGTGAGAGAGGAGAGGAAGAAGAGAGAGAGAGAGGAGAGGAGGAAGAGAGAGAGAGGAGAGGGGAGAGAGAGAGAAGAGGGGGAGAGAGAGAGGAGGGGGGAAGAAAGAGAGGGGGGAGAGAGAGGAGAGGGGGGAGAGAGGGGAGAGAGGGGAGAGTAAGAGAGCAAGAGAGTAAGAGAGCTACAACGAAGAGGGTGTTGATATTTATGGGTTTAAAGCGGGATGAGGAGGAGCAAGGCAAGTGGGCTGCTACTTCTTCATTGGCTGAGAGTTTGCACCACTCCAGGGATTGGAGGTGCGCCATTCAAAGTTTGTGTCATTCACAGGGATTGGAGGTGACGGTTCGCGTGCCATTCAGTGTGTCATGGACCTGAGCTCCCGGAAGAGAAGCATTCCGGGAGCCATCTTTACCAACAGTGATGGTGCTCAGAATCTGAACTTTTGTTTTCCACTGGGCCTGCCAGGTGTAAAATAAAGTTTGGAGCTTCCCTCCTTTCCGAGAAGTTTGCTGCTTCTCGACCAGTCTGTCTGTTCTTCACAACAAGCTCTCACAGGTCTAATTGCAGAGAGAAAGCTACCAGAAGAAAAATTTACTGATATGAGCTTCAGACTTGATCAAAGGATAGACTGAAAAATGAAACCAGACTGAATTGGGTGTTATTCAACTACTCAAGTTGTAGTTTATAAGCTTGCAACACAAATTTGACTTGAGAGCTTATGAGAAAAATAGAATCTCAGACTCATTCAAACCTATCGAGTCATAATCTGAATTTTAACAAGATCCTCAGGAAATTGTGTGCATATGAAGGTAGGTTCTGCGCTTTAAAGCTCCAGAAGCATTGGTATGGCTAGAACTCTGGATATTTCACCAGTGGTAACATTGAAGATGAAGTGCTGGATTGCACACCAAATTCAGTGCCAGGGTGATGGAGCATTCAAGTATGTTCCCGGCATGCAAGTCATTTCCTCTGCCAATCATTCCCTCCCTATTCCTGTAGCACCTTCCTGGAGCACCTGCATAAGTCTTTTCCAGAAAGCCTCTACTCCTATTATGTCTGACCTATGACCTCATTCTCTTGGTCATCCTAGATCCTGCCAGGGAGGGATGTTTGACTTGGAATGGGCCATACTGATTTCTCCCTGGAGTTTTTAATCAAACAAAAATGATTCTAGGAAATCTTCATTAAATTATGGAGTTAAAAGTGTAATCCAGGAGGGCTTTTTTTTTTCCAGTTTATTCACAGAAATACAAAGTCATCTCTAGAAAGAGAAACTTGAAGGAAGAGATATGAGAGAGGTAGGAGAAGACGGAGAGATAGGGAATGAGAGACCAAGAACTAGGTGCTCTGAGGTCCAGAGGGTGAGAGGAGTTCAGGCATAAGAATTTTACTCTTGAATGTTTTATTTACCTGTGACACATACAGCCAGTGCCTTCTATGGGAATATATGCTTGGACTCATCTGATTGGCAAAAGTCAAGGCAGATAACCTTCACTATTAGTGAGGACTCTGGAAATGGTATTTCTCATTTGTTTTTGGTAGGAATAATGAATTACTCTTTAATACTTAGAGAAATCAACTGTCTACTAAAAGTTTAACATATTATTTAGACTATTCCATATAAAATATTCTAGTAAATTGTAGGTCTTCTTAATCAATAATTATAAAATATATTTCATAGTTTTAAAATGTTTTAAGTTTTACGTGGATAATAGCATGTTTTGTTTCACTAAGCCTAAAAATGTATGTGTAAATTTGAGGGTTTTTTTAATGCAATATTTAATGACGAATTACTGCGCTTAATTTTAAAATGAGAAAATGGAAAATGTATACTCAGCAGTTTATAGCTCTTAGATCATAAAGTTTCTGTTCTATAAGTCAGATGCAAAATGTTTAAGTGTGCGCCATTCTTTTTTTTTTTTTTTTTAGTTGTAGTTGGACACAATACTTTTATTTTATTTATTTTTATGTGGTGCTGAGGATCAAACCCAGGGCCTCACACATGCAAGGTGAGCATTCTACCGCTGAGCCACAACCCCGGCCTCAGTAGGCCCAGTTCTTTGGAAGGGTATGAGAAAGACTTTCCAAATGTTTTTACTTAGATTAAATAAGTTTGAACACTTTGGAGGATCTTTGTACTTTGTACTCCCAATCTTCCTGCCTCAGCCTCCTGAGCTGCTGGGACTAGAGGCATGTACCACCATGCCTGGCTAGATGTCTGTTTTTGAGTCAATTGACATGAGTTGGGAAGAAAGAGGAAAGTAGATAGTGACTCAGTGTCCTGTTCTTAGCTTAGTGGAGAAGCTGAGAAATCTCTTCATTGAGAAATTATAAGCACTACTTACAACTAAAATGGGAATAAGAGAAATTCTCCTTACTTTTTCATTTGTGTAAACATACCTGAGAACATCTTTGGCAGGTATGCTGGTACTCTCAAGGTGGAAATCAAACCCAGAGATGTTTTGTGGACAGTGGACATTGATGATAAGGGTATCGAAGCAATACAAACAGGAGATAAAGTCAGATAATCCTGACAAACTTGTTCACCAGCACCGAGGAGACTCCTGATGCACACTTGCTATTCACCTTGGTGAGCATGTGTAATGTACTGGGAGATGTGGTTAAGAGTCAGGGAAGTATGAATGAAGCCCAATTCATGTAACTTTGTTTGCTATCCTTAGATAGAAATTTCAGGGAAAATGAGTTGCAAATATAATTTTCTTTATTGTTTTCCAATCATTTGTGAGCTTTAAGTCCTCAAATAAATACTGAGTTTAATATATTAAATCCCTTCTCTACACTTTCCCCCATTTACCCTTTCAGGGCCCTGATCCAGCAGGGGTTTGGGGGTGTGACATGCAATAAGAAGATTACACGTGACTAATAAACTTTCTTAAGCACACACAGGTTTTAATGGTCTTCTGTCTTGCCTTTCATCAAGAACATGCCTGGTTTTCTTCCCTGGGGACCAGACAAAATAATCGGTTACTTAGGCAAAATGAGCTGAAACTTCCCCTTGTCTGATAGAGTGAGTTTATCATTGTGCCTCTATGGCTTGCACTTTCCACTAGAGAGCTTTTGAAAAGGAAGAGAAACTTTTGGGCTTCATGTCTTTTTCTATTATTTACATAATAAGGAAAACTCCAACACATATTTGGATTGCCTCCAGGCCTAAACAGAATTAGTGACACTTCTTCATCTCTCATAATAGAGATTGGAAGAGAGAATATGACAAAAAGCACAAGATTGAACAGAGAAACGGACAGCACCCCATACCCTGTCAATGTGGGGGGCAGGGTGTTTGTGTGCACATGTGTGCATGTGGCAGGTGATGGGTATAAATAGAAGCTCTCATCTCTTAAGGCTGTTCTATTTGTGATTATGATATCAGACTAGTGTAGCTTATTTGGGATCAGTTCATACTCAGCACAATATTTTACTTATCAGAAGTTAAGTATAAAAAGACATAAGATACAACCAAATTTCAGATAAACCAGAACACTAATCTCAAATTTATTTGTTAATAAAACCTATGACTTTTTTCAGAAATTTTAACTGTGTACACTGATGATCTCAAATATATATATTTTCAACACATGAACTATTGTTACAGTAGTTGAAATTTTTAATTAAAAAAATGTTGAATTTTACATACTGTTTTAATTGTTTAATCACAAATACTAATATAAACTTAAATTTATGAAGATTTTTAGAGTTAAAAGAAGTGTTTATATCATCTAATATGCAATATTTCTTAAGGGAGAAAAAAAAATCCTACCATTCATTGTCAATGTTAATTCCTTAAGACTTTCCACTAGGCCTTTAGTCACTAAGTTATTCTTCTATTCAGCTGCTCTCCTATCATCTCAAACCTGAGTTCAGCAAGGCATTTTTGAAGAAAGCAATTACAAAGAAATTTTCCTAATAGTGTTTTCAATAGTAAATATTTCTTTCAGTGATTACAATCTACAAAGAGAAACCAGCACACCCTTCTCTCTCTTTTGCTTATCCTGTGTGAGACATTTGCTTTTCCACAGAGGTCTTAAAGAACTGTATATTTCAGTTTCTAAATGACACATATGGTACAGAATTCCTTTTTCTTATTTACATGCTGTATTACAATTTTAGGGAGGGCAGATGGGAGGCAGAATCTTCCCACGGGCATCCGGAAAGTCTTGAACTGTGGCTGCTTGATGGTCTCCTAGACAGGCTCCTTCTGGATTTGACATGGTCTCTACTCTCACTGTTTTTCAAACAACATTTCTACCATGGGTAACAGGAAAATGGAATTCATGCTGCATGGGACACTTGACATTGAGCATTGCCTAGGGAACAAGAGAAAGAAGGCAGAGAGAGTCGGGGGCGGGGGAGAGGGAGAAGGAGAGAGACACGGAGAGAATGAATATGGAGTTGAGCTGTGGATGGCACAGCAGGGTTCCCCCATAACTCCAATCCAGGACTATGGCCAGTGTCTTAGTCCATGCTGTGCCACACCAGTCATTTAACTATTTTGAATAACAATGTGGTGGAGGGCTTTCAGCCCTGTGCCAGCTGAAGCCCTATGGGCACCGAGTCCCTGTATCTCATTCTGTCTGAAGGGATGAAGCTTTGAGTCCATCTCCCTCTCAGAGTCTTCATCTGCTCTTTGCATTTCTCCATTCAACTCCTGAAGCAATGCCAAGAGCTGCAAAGCTTCGGAATCGGCTTCGTTTTTTTTAGAAAAGTCGTTACTGGACAATCTTTTGCAGTTTAATTTTGATCTTTTCTTTCTCCTTTGATTCCTCGTTTATTTTCAGACCCTCTAAGTAATGGTGGATGGCCTTTTCCTTGCATTTCCTTTGATACAATTGGAAATTGCCGTACCTCAGGTGGAGCAATTGTCTACCCACAGGAGTAAGCTCCTTCCTGAATTCTTTTTGGAAGTAGTGGTCTGCTTCTTCATATTGACCTGCTATTGCATAGAGAGCAGCAATATAGCTACAGATATACTGGAAATTTTCATTTTTCTCAACTTTCTTTAAGTGATCCACCCCTTGTCTTACTAGTTTCTGTAACTCCTCTCTTTCCCAGACGTTTTCATTCTGTCTTCTGTTCCCTGTTTCAAGGACTTTTGACCTATAGCAGCACCCAATGTAGTAATGCAAGTAGGCATTGTCTTGCGTGTGTTTTAAGGCCCTTTTTAGCAGTTCTATAGTCTTATCTAGGTCAGGTTTTTTTCTATAAAACTTCGATGCAGTGCACAATACATCCATTGCATCTGGAGCTTCCTTTAAGGCTTCTTCAACTAAGCTCTCTCCTTCATCCTTTTCATTCACCTCTTGAAGTTTTAGAGCCAAGAGGACTTTAACATACTGATTGTGTGGATTCAGCTCCATGGCTTTCTTCAGGGTCTCAATGGAGTTCTGAGATGGTGGCCTGTTATCCAAACGGTAGCTCGCGATGGCCCATCCAAAGTTGGCTTCTGGGCTCTTTGGGTTCTTTTCCAAAGCCTTCTGGAAACACATCTTTGCTCCTTCATTTTGACTTTTTGTGCACTTTAACCGAGCCCATCCTTCCTCACACTCAAGCTCAGGACTCTCAATTCTGTAGGGGCTGGAAAACTTGGCACAGATATGTTTCACCTTGTTCACGTAGCTCTCAGCCAGTTCGAATTGGCCCATGTGATAGTAAACCCAGGCATAGTTTCCCCAGGTGACCAGACTTCTGATCTCTGCTTGGTCTTGATACTTTTCCTGGATTGACTCTTCAGCTTTCCTCAAGAATTCCAGGGCTGCTGCATGTTGGCCTCTGTGATGCTTTATGTAGGCCGATAGGTTGTACATTGTGGCTTTAAATTCATTGTTCTGAAACTCACACTTGTTGAACACTCTGTTCTCGAACTCATCCAAGGACTCTTCTCCCTCCATCAAGTTCCAGGTGAAATGGCATTTTAATTGCTGTAGGCTGTTTGCCAAAGATTCGATAGTGCTCTCACTGTTGGGAAAAAAAAAAAAGAAAGAAAGATGGACACTTTGAGACACAGTATAGAATCATCTGTCAAGAAGTGGGATCATAGCAAATAAAATATTTTCCTCTATTTTAACATAAATTTAAGAAGAACAAAATTTCCTTCCAATGTTTTAGGGTATATGTTAGTTTCTACATGAGGAAGCAGGAGTTTGGTGACAATGGACAGCAGAATTACAGAGATGGACATGGGTCTGTCTGAGTTGAGGCTAGTTTTCCCAGAAGAAAGCCATGTTAGGTAATTCTGACAGGGCTGCAAAATCTTTGGAAACTGATTTCAGCAAAGGATTAAAATTTTATTTAGGTAGTTTGAAAAGAAATAATAAGACTATTTAATTGCTTTTTGTTTGTTCTTCATCTTTACCTAGTATTTTGGAAAACTTAGTTTCATAGATTTCTATTCTTTCTGGGACCCTGTTTTGCAGTGCTGATTTAAATTTCTTAGATTGTTTTTTTTTTTTGTACCAGGGATTGAACTCAGGGAACCACTAGGCCACATCCCCAGCCTTATTTTGTATTTTACTTAGAGACAGTGTCTCACTGAGTTGCTTAGTACTACACCATTGCTGAGGCTGGCTTTATACTTGCAATTCTCTTATCTGAGCCTCCTGAGCTGCTGGGATTACAGGCATACACCACTGTGCCCAGAAAATTTCTTAGATATTGTTCTAAAATTTGCTTCTATTTTATCTTCTATATTCTTAATTCCTTAGTTCTTATTAATTTGCCTTAGGGGAAAAAAAATGGACAGCAGAATTACAGAGATGGACATGGGTCTGAGTTGAGGCTAGTTTTCCCCTAGCTTTTTTTCCCTTTCCTTTCCTCCCCCTGCCAGGTGTTACCATGGAGCCCAGTTGATAACTTATCTTAAGTTATTACTTTCCTCTAATCATTTCAGCTTTTAGTATATCCTTAATAAAGTTTCTATCCAAACTTTTTGAGCTTTTGTCAAATTAGTTTTTGTTATTTTATTTTGATAGTTTATACTCTCATTATTTTGCTGTTGAATCTTTCTATTTTAACCATTTACATTATTTGCAATTATTCTTAATATTTTCTCATTTCCTGCTTTTATAAAATTCTATCTCTTAATATTATTATTATATATGTTAGCAATATCTTTTGGAATAAAGTATAATCCTCCCCCCTTCTACTTCTTAGACTGGTGGTTTCTAAGCTTAATATGTCTCACAGAGCTGATCTATTAATAATTTGCATCTCCTGTTTTAGTTTTCTTTTGGAATCTTATTTTTCTCACTTGGGGGTTTCCTCTTAGAATAGGAATAAGGAGTGTGGCTATGGGGGTCACTGAGTGCCTGATTGAAACACACACCCTAGGACCTCAGTTCAGCTTCCTAAATCATTATCTGTGGGGAGTTGAGTGCAGGAATCTGCCTCTAACAATTTCTTTAGGTTAATTATGACATATGCACAAGTTTGAATGTTGTAGGGACAGACAAGGCAAGGCACCGAAGAGAGCAGGAAACGGTTTTATCTGGCTGCAGCCAGGTTCAGAGGGCATAGCTTTTGCTGTAATCAATCAATCCCCTGAACCCCGAGTTCAGGGAGTTTTATACCCAGCATGTAAGGGGAGGGGCTCAGAAGTTCACAGTCTGCAGAAGTTCACATAAAAGCAGCTTTTTCTTTCACTGTTCTGGGTAAGTTAATCCTTCAAGGACAGCAACTGAGAAGGAGAGAGCTTCTTCTCCCCTTCCTTTCCTCCCCCTTCCAGCTGTTACCATGGAGCCCAGTTGGTAACTTCTCTTAAAAATGTAGACATCTCTGTGAAGCCCAGCTCAAGGACAGAGGCCTTGTTTGCACATTCCTACAAACTACTATACTGGATATGTTTGTGAAAAACTAGTACGGGGGTGTCCAGCACCTGGAGTGCTGATTTCTTCCCGGCCAGTGACCAAGTAAGATAGGGCAACACGAAAATAGGAAGTTTCTCTGCATTGAACTCTTTTTTAGAGATTCTCTTGCCGTCAGTCCTAAAATCAGCCATGGTAAAGATTTCTGGAGAAGCCCAGTTAAGACTTTTCTATGGAGAAAGGTGGTGCCACTTTATGAGAACTACTGTCTAAGAGCACAGTGGTAAAACCCAGGGGAAAGAGCCCATAACTAAAGAACAAGTACAGTGAAAAGAGGAACTGATAGTTATTAAAAGATTCTAAGGTCAGTCCATGATAAAATCCTAAAAAATAAGAATAAATTTCATACAGATTCTGGGTGATCATAGAAACAAATCTATAAACATCTTAATCTCCCCCGGCCAACCCCGTTTTTTCTTATCAAGCAGATACTTAGACTAGCAGAGAAGTGCCATTTCAAAGACAGAGACTGGAAACCTGACAGAAGAAATCAGTGCATCTTCTAGGAACTAAGCACTGGATTCCAGTACTCTCCTCCACCCTACTCTCAAACTAGAGAAACAGAAGCTTTCCTTCCTTCCCAATGAGTTAACACTTTCTCTTCAGGACAATCTCATGTTTCTAGGCTAGGAGAGGATTTTAGAGGTGAGGACTCTTTTCTCCACTCACCCCATCTTCAATTCATACTCTAATCCATCATTTGTGTAGGGCACAGGAGGAGTAAAATATTTCTGTTTAGTTACCAGCCCTGTACAAATGTGAGATGAATGGGGCCATTAAAAGAACTTTCACTTCTGAATACATCTTCAACAATATCTACTGAAAAGAAATCTTTTGTTAAATAATACTTTTTATTATAAGCCCTCAACTTAATCTTTTCCAATAGAAACAAAAGAGGGATAGTTTGTAAGAGCAATTCCCCCAGACCCATCTTCATGACATGAAGACTCCAGCCCAATTAAACATCTCTGCCTGCTTCTGTCTGACCTCAGTTCTCAGCTCCTGCAGTTCTTAGGAAACCGGACTTTGTGCAGCTTTATGTGTAATCCGGCAAGTGCTGATAAAGCAGATTAACAGCTACAGATAAAACAGATTAACGGCTACAGAGATGGAGGTGTAGGTGTAGGAACCGTTCAAGCAAACAGAACTGGTTTTGCTTGGGAGAAAGGCTGTTAAGGATTTGCATTCAAATGTGATCACACTGTTACAGTGTGAATAGAGAGGGGTGAAGAAACTTTACCTTGTGGTTGCCATGCAGTTTTCCATTGTGCTGAAGGGCTGCAAGTTCAGGCTGCTGTGCGCTTCAGAAACTTCCCTCCTCTGCCTCAGATAGATGCTGGAGAGACTCTTATATAACAGCAAGTCGGCAGTTACTCTTCCTGTTTCTCTGCGGTTGACTTTACAAAAGAGAAATTGAAACTGGAAAGTGAAATCAGGACTCTTTGCAGAGAAATGATCTTGAGTAATAAACAAACTTTTCGGGAACCAGATTTGTTACAGTGAGTCAGAATGATCAGTTCTAGATCTAAGGCATCCTGGGAGCCCACTGTGGAGAAGAATACATTTACAGAGTACAGGTCCTCATCATTTCCATGTAAATCCACCCTCCTGCTTACGACCCACAGGCCACTGTAAGGAGCAGTTGCCAGCCACAGGGCAGGGCTTTTTAGTCTGTTTCCTTCACTGCCACTGCGAAGCACCAGTCCCTGCATTAATATATGCACAGTGCATGGTATGGCAGACATTCAAAAAGTAGTTGTTAAATGAGTGAATACTTGATTCAAAGCATGGGCTCTGATGTCAGTCTATCTGTATTTGAAATCAGTCTCCGTTTATATGCTATGAAATTTGGGGGAATTATTGAATGTCTCTGCCTAAGTTTCTTTGATTGCAATTTGGGAACAATACTGCTACCAACTCATAATGGTGAGACGACAATTAAAAGAGTGTTTACGTGAAATTTAGAATAGTGCCTGGCACCTAATAGCTAAATGCTAGCTTTTATTGTAATTATTAACTAAAATCACTAACCAAAGAGATAAATGGAGTCTGTATCTGTATCTGGCAAATGGAGTCAGTCTCTCTCTCTCTCTCTCTCTCTCTCTCTCTCTCTGCTTTTTGATCATTTGAGCCACTTCCCTCTGACACCACTCTTCTTCCATGATGTTTTGCCTCACCTTGAGCCCAGAGGAATGGAGCAAGCCACCTCTGAATCTGAGAACTCTGAAACCACGAGCCCCCATATAAACTTTTCTTCTCCTAAAATTGTTCTGGTTGGGTCCTTTAGTCACAACTGGAAAAAGCTGACTAAAACCACTCTAAATCACAAAAGGATTATAGTTTACATAAAGTATTCTTGTCCTGCCTGGACAAAAGTAATAACACCAGAGGCCTTTGGCACGGAGAAAAGGTGATACATACTTCCCAGCAAAACTGAGTCCGAAAGATGGTTTACTCCATCTTAGAGAAAGTCACTTATCTTGATTTTCTACTTAGGTCAGGGTGGAAACAGAAACTATGCTTCTTAAAATCTTCTACCCTTTCATTAGGATCCACAGCTGTACCTATCCCAGTTGCAAACTCTTAACTTTTAAGCCTCACTCATAAATGACAAATTATGAGTTTACAAATTCTAGTATTCATTTATAAAAATGTGTAGGTATAGAAGAAAGCTGAAATAGGAAACCAGGGATACTTGTGGGTTTTGTTTTGGTGTTGGAGTTTGCATTCAAGAAAACTTAATGGAGTCCCAGTAACTTGGGAGCCTGAGGCAGAAAGATCATAACTTCAAGGTCAACCTGTACAACACAGTAAGGCCCTATCTCAAAATAAAATTTTAAAAAGGCTGGGGATGTAGCACAGATGTAGAGCACTTGGTTAGCCTGTGTAAGACCCTGGATTCAATCTCCAGTTGAAAATAAACAAATAAATAAATAAAAGCCATACAAGAGTAACTGTTGAGTAGGAATGTTTAAATTATAAATAAAGGCACAGAGGTCAGTACACTAGTGATCAGTACACTCTGAAATGGTTGCAGATAACTTTTTTCACCCTTCAGAACTCTCTCTGGCCCATGCCTTATACAGGGCAACTACAATAGAGATGCACCTTATAGCTTGTTAGTGCAAGAACACTGAGTCTCATTGCAAAGTAGAAAGTGGAAAGGATGCCTAGCTGTCTTCTACTTGAGGAAAAAATGTATTTAGTGAAAGTTCTGGTTACTCTGGTTACCACAAGTATTTGTGCATCTTTTCCCTAGTCTATAGGCCTAGGACTGTACCTATTTTAGCTTGGTTTCAAAAAGGGGGAGTTGCTTGCTATTCCCAGAAAGGGGAAAGTCACCATGAGTATCTGCATTGGCTATAGGGAGGTAAAATGCAATACTTCTCACACTATGATCAGCAATCAGCATCAGCACCATCTGGAAACTTGTTAGAAAGGCAAATTCTCATACTCCTTCCTAGACTGATGGAACCAGAAATCCATGTATTAATAAGCCTTCCAGATAATCCCAGCAAATTCTAAAGTCTGAGAACCATACCACATATTGAAAGTTTAATGAAAATACTTTTACGTCTATGAAATGAAATACTATGCTTTTCTATTGAGATTGGTTTTAAATTGATGCTCTTTTTGTTATGTATCTATGTGAGGATTTTTGTCTACCTAAGTGAGCTGGAGGCTAGTCCAATAGTGTTCACACCTATATGACCTGTAATGTGTGAACAACGTGCTCCTACCTGATTCAGCGTTCACTCCTCTACTCATTCATGAATACACAGATTTAAAAGAATCTTCCAAAAAAAACTTTAAGAAGATATAGTTAATAAAACAGCTCATTCATATTCTTTTTGTAAAAGTTGCTATAGTCTGGATAAGTGTCCCCCTCAAATACCCATGTTTTAAAGGCTTGGTCTCTAGCAGTGGCACTTTTGGAAGATGGTGCAACTTTTAAGAGAGAGAGAATCTAGTAGAAGAAAGTTAGGTCATTGAGAGCATGCTTTTGAAAGAGATATTGGGGTTCTGCCCCCTTTCGGTATTTTTCTTTTCTTGCAGGCCACTATAAGGTGAGCATCTTCCTCTGCCACACCTTCTCCATCATGTTGTACTTCCCTGACACAGGCCCAAAGGTAATGGGGCTAAATATAGCACAAAATAGACTAAGACATTTTCATTGTTAATTTTTTGAGAGTATATTTGGACAGTTTTTGATTGGGAATGTGGTAAAGTAAATGAATTTACTTCTTTATAGCCCTAAGCAAATAACCCAAAGAAAATAAGCTTATGTAGAGGTAACTTGGACCCGTATCCCTATTAGACTACTAGGGATATTTCATTCACTCATTCTTTTTTTTTATACCTTTATTTTGTCTAATTGTTTTTATGTGGTGTTGAGGATCGAACCCAGGGCCTCACACGTGCCAGGCGAGCGCTCTACCACTGAGCCACTACCCCAGCCCCCTCATTCTTCATTCATATTTTCAGCCAATGCTTATGATATGCAATGCGCTAGGCACCTCTCTAGGCTCCTGGGCACATCCGTACACAAAGATCTGTCTCCCTGAGTTTAATCTACCATAAAGAGAAGACAATAAACACAATTGTTGTGGACTGAATTGTGTCACCCTTCTCTTCTCAAAATTCATACACTGAAGCCCTAACCACCAAGGTAACTATAAAGACATACAGCCTTAGGGAAGTAATTAAGGGTAATGAAGTAATGAGTGCTAATTTGATAGCACTCATGTTCTTATAGGAGGAGATACCAGAGATTCCCATGCCTGTGTGTGCGCATGCACACACACTCACTCACACACACAAAAGGCCATGTGAGGGTATAGTGACAAACTGGCCATTTGTAAGCCAGGAAGAGAGGCCCCACCAGAAACTAATCTTTATGGCATCTTAGTCTTGGATTTTCAGCCTTTAAAATTGTGAGGAAAAATAGTTTTCTGTTGTTTAAGTCACCTAGTTTGTGATTTTTTTGTTGTTGTTGTTATCGCAGCCCAAACAGACTAACACAATAATAAATAAACTAGATAGCATAGTGATAAGTGCTATGGGGAAAAAAAGTGAGTAGAGAGGGTAAGGATTATTATATATGAGGGACGGAAGGGGCCCAAGGTCTAACAGCCACTGAGTTATACAGCTGGAAACCTCTCTAAGCCTCAATTTTGTCATTGTTAAAATAGGAACTGTATCAGTTCTTACCATACAAGGCTTAATGAAGATTAAGTGAATCACTGTATATAAAGGGCAGAGAATAGTGCCTGGCACATAGTAAATGTCCAATAATGGAGAGTCATCTCTATATACTACTGCCACCACTACTATTTGGGAATGGCATTTACTTCTAGGGCCAGAGGCCACTTATTTAAAAGTGGTCTATGCTCTACTGTGGAGCATTGACTATATAGAACTGTCAGTATTGGTGGATGCCACTGGGTTGCTATATCGCATTCTTTTTCTTTTTATCCTTTTTCTTGGCCAGGATACTATTTTAGAAGAAGAGTTAGCATCTCCGTATAAAGGGATACTTCTGTTGCCAAAAGCTTGGAATGTTTAACTCAAACTGAAAATATTTTAGAATTGGGAAAGATCAAGGTTTGAAAAAGTGCTCAAAAGAGAAAAAATGTTGCTCTCTTAGGGTTCCTAAATTGGTATAAGGCTAGCTGCTATAACAAAGATGCTCTTGTTCATATAACCATCCCAGGTTGGTTTTCCTGGACAGCTGGTAGTCTCTGTGCAATGATCCAAGGAGACAGATTTCTTCCAACACTTCTTTTCATATTCCATTAAGAAGAGTTAGTATATTCTCCTACACAGAAAGGGAGGCTGAGAAATGTAATTCCTGAATAAGATTCCTCTATCTCAGTGACAACTTTGTGCCACAGAAGATGAGTACTGGCTTGGGTGGATCATGTGCTGCTTCTACCCCAGCACCCTACTCTAAAGATCCACATGTACCCTCCCTGCCAAACATAGAACATGCTCAGACCTTGGCCAAAGGAGCCCATCCAGAATCAAGGCAATCACTGCCCTCAGCTTGTGGTCAGGGATCTGTGAGTAAGGCACTGTCCTCTCCAATGGTCTGGGTAAGATTCTTTGTGGTCTGGAGATTCAAGAATCAAAAACAAAGACTAAAAGTCTAGATAAGACTAGCTATTTCATATGTATTATGTGCAGTACTAGTGCAGGATAATAAGAAACACACCCAATTGAAGAGAATGTGGAAAAATTCTAGAGATCTATGGCAGTGATGAAACTCTACTGGATGGGTCTTTTGAAGATCCACTACCCTGGCAATGGTGAAAATTTCTTGATTTGATCCTCGTTTTGTCATCTGATAGGAACTACCCTGCCATTGTTCTTCAAACACCTTGCTTCATCCTCTGGGAAGTTCTTTTTGATATTTATTCTCATCTTTGCACTATGAGATAAGGGTTATGTTTTTACTTTGTTGGTCCTAGACCTCCTGTAATCAAATAGGACCTTTGTTAATAATGTTCTTTAAGGAGAACATTAATTAATACCCTCAAAGTATGTCTCCTGCATTTTTTTCCGTATTTGATTCTGAGAATCAAAAGTTGTAAAAATAGATTATCATGAAAATATCAGAAAGGAAGAGGGATATGAAAAAGTCTACATAAAAGTACAAGAGACAGCATAAGTGGTCAGAAGAAATGTGTGGAATGTTCAAGTGTTCACTGCAGGTGTATGGATTTCTTCTTTTTTTGAAATGAACAGTAGGGACATTTCCACTTCTCTCGTGAGCTGCATTAACAGGGCTCTGGAAGCCAAGCTTCTAAGGTACTCTTGGGTTTTCCCACCAAACTCTGCCTATTCCTCTGCATTTATTGTGTGCTTAACAAAGGATTTTAGGCAGTGATCCCCACCACGTATTCTAGGCCAAACACTGTGGGTTAAAATTCCATAATTTTATTATGAAATAAAAGCCTTGTTCCCTCCCTTTCTAGAGTTTGTAATCTGATTGCAACATTAAATTTGCATGCATCTAAAATGACAGAGAGAGAAAGCCCATGGGAAATGAATAGCACAGGGAATGTATGAAACTATTCTTGCTTTATTGGAAATCAAGAAACCTGAAGGGCACGTGTGTTCTCAGCAGGAGCTGGGTGCTGAGAACACCGTGTGTGAACTCTTGGAAAACTTGAACTGCTGTGTGAACTCTTGGAGTCAGACATATGCCTTTCAACTTGGAATTCATTCATCGCATTACTTGACACCCATTGGGAGCCCACTAGAAGCTTGTTGCCTAAAAAATTAATTTCCTAACACTGATGACAAAAGAATATAAAAACCAAAAAACCAGCAAAAAGTCATAGAGGAGTGGTCAGAACATTCTCCTCAGAGGGGACTGATTGTCCAAAAATCAGTTTTGATGAACACAATTATGGATAAGTGAAAAGAGTTGGAGGGCATTTTGTGTGTGTGTGTGGGGGGGGGTGGTGGTTGGTGGTAGAGATTTGCAAACATGAGTGTGGGCTTGCACACATCAGGAATGGAACTGTTTTGTGCAGTGGCTACTAAGGAAGGGATCACAGCATTCTGGTCTGACCTTCTTTGTCTTGAACTGGGTTTACTTTGTTTGACTACATAATAGATGTTCTGGGAACAAAATTCAAACAGACATACTGTTGAAGGTAAATCTTCCCAGACAACTATCTCCCTCTCTAGAGACTACCTTGGAGAGAAAAATCCTTTCCCAAATATTTTATGCCTATTCAGGTGCTCTTAATGACAATCAACCATTCCCCTCCTACTATATCCTTTATTATTTTAACAGCAACACACAATAGAGCCTGTTGTGACATGTCTTTTTTCCTCTTTTTCCTTCTTTCATTCATCCTTTCCTCCCTCTCTCCCTTCCTTCCAACAATGTTGACATGCTATATACACTTCTGTACTTTTATCTATTTGTATTTAAATATATCTTGGAGATAAGAGTTCTATATTTTTACATTTTGAACTCCTTTATTGTTATTATTTGCAATAGCCACATGATATCCCATGCATGGAATGTTAAAATCAAATTAACAAGTCCTCCAATGAGTCATTTTCAGTCCTTTTTAGTTCTTTGTTTTTATAAACTAAGCTTCATGAACACCCATGTACATGTCTTTGCATGCACATGCAAATATTCATATGAATGGAATTGCTGGTGCAAAGATTCAGATACTCTTTTTTATTTATTTTATTTTTTTAAATACAGGACAGCGGAATTATTACAATTCTTATTACACATATAAAGATTCAGATGCTCTTAATGACAATCAAGCATTTCCCTTCTACTATATCCTTTATTATTTTAACAGCAACACATGATACAGCCTATTTATCTATGTCCTTGGTAGTATACTCTTAGGAAAGATATTTTTCTTGCTGATCTGAAATAGCCTCATTTGCAGTGTTGGTTTGAGTTGCTTTTTATGAATGACACTGATAATCCTTTCATCTGTTTAAAAGCTATTTTCATTTTCTGCCCATTCCTGACCTTTGCCCATTTTTCCCCTTGGGCTGATATCTTTTTGGTCTTGATTTACAAAAAAACTATTTCAATATTAAGGAAATTAATTTTTTTAACCTAGTAATGTATAGAAATATTATCATTTAGTTTGTCATTTACCTTTGGACGTTTTTAAGGTATTCTCTTCATGCAAGATATATTGCAATATAGTTGACTTTATTAATAGTTTGGGGTTTTGTTCATACATACAACTTCCAGACCCTAAGATTTTTTTTTTTAATTATCTCAAGAATTCTTGAGGCAATTTTATGATTTCTATTTTTTTGAACACTGAAAACTTTGATTTATAAAGAATCCATTTTGAAGTTTAAGAAGCCAGGAGGTGGGACCAGTCACCAGGGGAGTTCTAGTTTCTTTTTTCACAGCAAATACTGAGTGACTACTGTGTGCCAGCCAATGTGCTGAGCATTGGGCCAGAGAATCTCTTGGGGAATCTGGTACACAATGAGAATGAACCAGGGTCACATAATCTCAAAGCAATATGTCATCCATATGACAGAAGAAAAGTTGATTCTAAATATCTGCATTTGCATGAGAATTCTTAGAACCTGAAAGAGAGAGAAACAAGTGAAAAGCCCAGTCATCTGCTCAGCTCTCTCCAGCTGGGGCCTGCCTCCCCTCCACCCCACCCCCCTTTCAAGACTAACACACAGGACCTCCTATGCCTCTGTCTCCTTCACCTCCCTCTGAAGTGCAGAGACCTGGTAGGAAGGTCTCTGGAGGGCCTTCTGCTCTGCTGGGTGGTGGGCCCCACCTGTACCCTCTGAGGTTTCATTCCTACCCCTCCCATCCAGGGACACAGAAGGGTCAAATCTGCCAGCATCTGAGGCCGGATTGCCCAATGGGCATCCCAGTCCTCTCCCAGGGCCTCCAGCTGTTGATTGCCCCTTTGTATTCAATTCCTGGATAAATCTGGACAGTTGCCACCCCACGGCATCTGAGGCATTCTCAGAGAGTCTTTTATTGGCGATTCTCCTTAGGTTTATGATCAGTTTTCCCTTCTCAGCCAATGAGCCGTGTATGTTCAAGCCCGCCAAGTAATGGTGGATGGCCACGTCGTCGCTCAGCCTCTGGTACTGCTGGAAGTTGCCATACCGTAGGTGGAGCACTTGTTTCTCGGCAGGAGGGAGATCCTTACTGAATTCTTTCTGGAAGTAATACTCGGCTTCATCGTACTGGCCTGTGATAGCATACAGGCAGGCAAGGTCGGAGCAGGCCCGGGGGAGGTTGATGTTCAACTCAACAACTTTCTTAAAATGATCCACAGCATTTTTCATTATTTCCCGTAGTTTTTCTTCCTCCTCATTAGTGGTGCACTTTCTTGACCTCTGTATTTGTCTGATTTTTGCTCTGTAGCAGCATCCAATCTGGAGATGTTGGTAGACATTGTTGGGTACTGATTCTAATGCCTTTTTGAGCAATTCTATAGCTGTGTCCAGGGAGCCTTTATTCCGGTAATATTTAGCAGCACTACAGAGTACATCTGTTGGACAAGGTGTTTTCTTCAAGGCCTCTTCAACCAACTGGTCTCCTTCAACTTCGGCTTTGTTCTTGACCTTTTGAAGAGTCAGAGCCAGGAGAACATTAACATACTGGTTGTTAGGATTCAGCTGGATGGCCTGCCTCAGGAGGCGAATGGTGTTTTCCGTTGGTGCTTCGTCACCCAGACGGTACAGTGTGATTGCCAGTCCTAGGGAGAACTCAGGATTGGTGGGTTTCTCTACCAGAGCCTTCTCAAAACACTCCTTAGCCCGTTCATAGTATTTTCCTCCCCATTTTAAAAGTGCCCATCCTTCTTCACAGTCAATCTCAGGGCATTCGATTCTATAGGAGCTTGCAAATGTCTTACAGAGTTTTTCCACCTTGTTGATGTAAACCTGAGCTTCTGAGAATCTGCCCATGTGATAGTAGATCCACGCATAGTTCCCCCAGGTGACCATGCTTCTGATTGTGCCTTGGTGGTCCTGCTGCTGCAGATTAAACTCCTCTGCTCTGCGAAGGTAAACCAGGGCCACCTCATGCTGGCCTCTGAGGTGTTTAACATAGGCAAACAGATTGTACATGATCGTTTTGAATTCTGTGTTTAGAAATTCTACCTGATCACGAACTCTGTCTTCTAAATCCTGTAAGGAACTTTCTTCGTCATATAAATTCCAGGTAAAGTGACATTTCAGTTGTGGTAAGATATTTTCCAAGGAATGTTTGGCAATTTCACTACAGGGGAAGAAAAAGAAAGAATTGAGGATGACAGTCAGCAGTAGCAAAGCAGTGCTTTGGGGGCATGGCTGCTTGATCACATCTCAGATACAAGATGAGAAATTTGAGACTTTTTTCATTATTCCTCAAATACTAGTAGCTCAACTCTGAGTCCCATGCCCTCTTTTTCATTCTGTCTCAAACAAGGTAGTGAGAGAAAATTAACTAATGGACCTGACATGGGGAAAGGAGACATTTTTGTCGTACTACCATGGGGAGCCAGCACTTACCCTGAACAACACTAGCTAACTAGCTAATCATTAGCTCAGTGTCCTGCCCAGGTCAACCTAAAAGTGCAGGAGAGCATTTCCTTCCACCACAGTTAGATTTGTTTCTAGATTTACTGGGTTCAAGTCCCTTCTGCCAATCTGCCCAAATACTTGTAGATCAGTCAATGACCTGCGTATGAATAGAGAGAATGCTCTGAGTCCTTTTATAGGAATGGAGTGTGCATAGAAAATTAGTTTATTCAGGTTGTTCCATAGTGAGTATTTTATCCATCTGAGGTTGGGCCTATGAGGATAGAGCTATTTATGTCACTGTCCCCATTGATTTGCTTTGCTGAGCTGGCTCATAGGACAAATTTAAGATCTATAATTCAAATGCTTCCTACTCCTTACCTGGATGGGTACCACCTGATGCCATAGCCCACTACCCTTTCCCCCTGGTTAGTGGCCAAATTCCCTGTAGCCATAAAAACAACAGACACATTACCTACAGAGAAGTAGAGAAATCTGGAGTAGATGAGAAACACACCAAAAATTCTACTCACAAAAATCAAGGAGAAAACTATACACAGAAAATAAATAATATAAGCATCATTTTTAATAGCTAAAGGGTTCTAACAAATGGTAAAGAAAATTCTAATGTGAACAGGTCATTTAAAATTTACCAACATATATGAAAAAGGTCATTGATAATCAAAGAAATGCAAATTAAATGAACAGTTTCATTGAGTTATAATTTTTTAAAAATCAAATCTGACAAGAATATGGTGAATTGGGCATTCTCATACAAGAGTACTAGAAGAATATTTTGACTAGAACTTGTAGGGTATTGTTACAAAATTTAATAGGTATTTTAGACATAAAAAACTTGAATTTTAGGAATGTACAAAACATTAATTATTCAATCAAAGGTTGCGATGGTCTTTTGATATGTCAACTTGGCTAGGCTGTTGTCCCCAATTATTCATTCAAACACTAATCTAGGTGCTGCTATGCAGGTATGTGGTAGATAGGATTAAAGTTTATAGGTAGTTAATTTAAGTAAGAGAGAGAGAGTGCTAGATAATCTGGACAGACCTGAATTAATCAATAGAAAGGCTTTAGATGCAAAGCTGACCTTCTGTAGTGAAGAAATACTGCCTGTGACACAGCTACAGCCTGTGCCCCAGGGTTCCAGTCTGCCTTTCTGGATGGCTTGTCCTATGGATTTCAAAAGGCTGTCAAACCCTACAGTCCTATAAGCCAATTCCTTGCAATGTCTCCATTCTAATGTCCACCAATTCCTTGATATGTCTCTTAAGACATATCTTCTATTGCTTTCAGTTCTCCGCTTAAACACCAGTTGACTGAAAGGTTAATGAACTAAGGAGGCTCACTGCAAAGATAGTTACAATTGCTTAAATTTTTTAAAAACCTAGATGATGTTCTATATAAAAATATTTTAAAAAGCTGGGTGCAGTAGCACACACCTATAATCCCAGTGTTGGGGAGGCTGAGACAGGAGGATGGTGAATTCAAAGCCAGTCTCAGCAAAAGTGAGGCGCTAAGCAACTCAATGGGGCCCTGTCTCTAAATAAAATACAAAATAGGGCTGGAGATGTGGCTCAGTGGTTGAGCACCCCTGAGTTTAATCTCTGGTACCGCCCCCCAAAACAAAAATTTTAAAGTATTGTAGGACAAGCAATTGAACATGATGCTACTCTAGTTCCTTCCTTAAAATTCACTTTAGACTTCAATTCACAAGGAAAAAAGCGGAGTATAAAATACAATAAAAACTTGAAGACTCTGAATGAGTTAGACAAACAGTAATTGCTCACCAAACCCAAGAAAAATAAATCTACAAGCCATGGGAGAAATTTGAAAAAGCAACCTAATATATAATGCAGAATTCTCCAAAGGCTCAGGTATTGGTAGCACAGAGTGCTGCAGAAGTGTGTGTGTGTGTGTGTGTTTAAGAAAGTTCTTTAAACACACACACACACAAAACCAATTTATATTGCCTAAAATCTTAAAAATCAAGAACAACCAATAATCATATTATTTAAGTACTTTACAAAACAGTCACTAAAAGACTTACACAGTAAATAATAACCTGTAGAGAATGAGAAATAGGGTGGAATGGAGGTGGGGGGGGCTGCTATTTTCCATACGTTTTATAGATCATGTTGACTATTTAAATGGTGTGAATGTATACATTTGATGAAACTGAAAAAGAATGAATCTGGTATAAGGTGAGGGGAAAAAAAGGAGAAAGGAGAAGGGAAGGAAAAAATGAAGGAAAGAAAAAAAGAAAGATACATACATACATATACTCGCACAACTTTTTTTTGGAAAAATTTTCAAAGTTGAGGATGTATCTCACACTTTAGTTTAATCTTATCTTTTCACTTAATAATACACACACACACACACACACACACACACATACATGCATGCATATATGTAGTTTTTTTTTTTTTTTCCTGGTTGGTGATATTAGGCGCGATACGAATTTTCCCCTTATACTTGATGATAATTTCTCAACATTTCTTTTGTGTGCTTTCTGTATTTTTATCCTGAGAAAAATCTTTCAGGATTCCAGTTTGTCCTTTTACTTTTTAAAGACCACTGAAGATATAAAAACAAAACAGAAAGGGAGTGCATGGGTGTTGGGATTAGTCACGCCCAGCTTCTCCAGTGGCTCTGGGGGACTTCAGAGAGAGAGGACCCTTGCTTAGCGACAGACTGCGGTTCCTTGAAAAAGAATTGCTCAACGAAATCAGCTCATCCCCCACCAGCGCTGCCAGCGCTGAGCTCAAGAAGTACGCCACCTTTAATAATTATAATGAACACTAACCTATGCTTCTGGCTGCCTTTCAGATGAAGAACCTAAAACACAAGAGCCTGTAAGAACATTTCTGCCGCTTTTGTATTCCTAACTGATCCAGATGTGGCCGCGATGAGGGATTCGCATAGCCCGCCCCTCCCCCTCCGCCAACAACAACCGCGACGCTCCTGCCAGCTCCCGGCCCTGGCCGCTTCCAGTTTAGGATTTCTAAAAGCTTCCTTTAGGGGAAGCCTCTAGGAGCCCAGATGTGCCACAGAACTTAAAATACCAGATTTGGGGGGGGGGGAGATCATTCTTTGGATTGTGGCATGCAGCATATTCGACCAGATGTTAAAATCTAGCACTTGAGAAAATCTGCTTTGAGATTTTCAATGGCATTAGACGTGATCTGAAGGAATCAATACAAGAAAGAAGAAAAAAATCCTTTACCTCATGGTCGCTGCCCTGCGGTCCTGCAGTGTTGTGGCGAAGGCGGATTTGCTGTTCAGAATTCTGCCTAAGGGGACTGCGGAGCCCAGAGGAAAGGAAGCCCCGTGCTGTTAAGGAAGGGTGCCTTTATGTGTATTTGCAAATATGAAATGGAGCTTGTTCCTGGCAAGTACTACTAACTTTCATCTACACTGGTTTCCTGCTGTAGGAAAAGGAGACTTTCACAGGGAGAGCTTTTATTTTTCTGGTTGGGGACTCAACTGGGATGGAGTGTTTGGAGGAAATGTGTGCAAGGCAAAGGGAAATTTACTAGAGGGAGGATCAGGAATGTAGCCCTGGGGGAAGTGAAAATCTAAAAATAACCATTGGACTAGGATGGTTTCTGGAGAAATGTCACCACTAGCTAATAGTGATCAAAATTTTCATTCAGGACTTCATTCAACTTATTCATTTACCAGATTAATAAGAGAAGATGTGCTATGGTTAAGTGTCCATGGGTTTAATCTCCAGACAATCAATCAATCAATCAATAATTCAGAGAGCTTATGCTGCCTGCCCAAGGAGGGAAGTTCAGGTCTGTCTGACTCTTACATTCTCATTTGTTCATTGTGCTTGAGATCAAAGACACTGGATCTGAATTGCATGGGTACGAATTTCTGCTCTGCCATTCACTACTTGTGTAAACTTGTATCCATTCTTCATCTATAAAGAGAATAGGAGTTCACATGAATAAGTTATTGTGGAGCCTTAAAATGGACCCCAGCACACGATGGCTGCAAAGGGAGTATCTGCTCTCACTGTTGGATGTTTGGAATCGAGTTTTGGCATTGACTCTAGTGCCTGGCTCTGTCACCAACTGCCTTGACAGACAAATCATAAAGCAGGCCTCATTTTTATTCTCAGAGAAATAAACTAATTAGCCTGGATGATCCTTCAAAGGCCTTTCTCAGTATAAAAATCTGTGACTCTAAAATCTCATGGATCTATATCCTGGAATCTAGTTCCCACCATATGTACAAGTTCTCAATATCTGGCCCTATGATGGATCAGACCTCATAGCCCATGGGTGTGTCTTATTGCCAAATACCACCATTGATCCTACCTACCTTTAATGCCTCTTCTCAAGTAGACTTTTATGTCCTAACGTAGTTCCAAACTGAGATGTCTTCATCAGCTATCAAGTTGTCTTAATTAAGCTATCAGGTAAAGTGTAGTGGTGACATGCTTGGGCTTGGTTTCTGGAATCTTTTTAAAAAATATTTATTTTTTTTAGTATTATGTGGACACAATATTTTTTTTACCTTGAATTTATTTATTTTTATTTCTTATTTATATATGACAGTGAAATGCATTACATTCTTACTACACATATAGAGCACAATTTTTCATATCTCTGGTTGTATACAAAGTAAATTCATATAAATTTGTGTCTTCATACATGTACTTTTAGATAATAATGATCATCACATTCCACCATCATTTCTAACCCCATGCTCCCTCTCCCTATCCCACTATTAATCAGCCATCGGATATCAAAGAAAACATTTGGCATTTGGTTATTTAAGATTGGCTAACTTCATTTAACATTATCTTCTCTAATTGCATCCATTTACCTGCAAATGCCATGATTTTGTTCTCTTTTATTGCTGAGTAGTATTCCATTGTGTACATATGCCACATTTCTTTTATCCATTCATCTATTGAAGGGCATCTAGGTTGGTTCCACAGTTTAGCTATTGTGAATTGTGCTGCTATAAACATTGATGTGGCTGTGTCCCTGTAGTATGCTGTTTTTAAGTCCTTTGGGTATAGATCGAGGAGACGGATAGCTGGGTCAAATGGTGGTTCCATTCCAAGTTTTCCAAGGAATCTCCATACTGCTTTCCAAATTGGCTGCACCAATTTGCAGTCCCACCAACAATGTATGAGTGTACCTTTCCCCCCATATCCTCACTAACACTTACAATATTTTACTTCTATGTGGTGCTGAGGATTGAACCCAGGGCTTCATACATGCTAGCATTCCACCACTGAGCCACAACCCCAGCCCTGTTTCTGGAATCTTGATGCCTGAATTCAAATCTGTTCCTTCACTTACCAGTTGTTTGACCTTTAATAATAACTTGAGCTGAACCTTAATTTGCATATATGTAAACTTCAGGAATTAATACAAACCTGATAGTTTTAAAGAGAAATTTTGCAGCAGGTATTTGTTTAAAACAATAAAGCAGACTGTTAAAGACTATTGCAATAAGGGAGAGACACTAATGCAGTAGAAAAGAGATGGAATTCAACTCTGAACACAAATGTGGATTTATAGCCAATGGATAGTGTAAGAGAGTAAAAGGAAAATTACTAAGAGGAACTTGGATATCAAGGATTAGGAAAGAGGAGCTTAACTGGATATTAAAAGTAGGGGCATTCTTAATAAACTGACTTATCAAGATTCTTTCCTAAAACTGGACTCTACAGGCCAAAGTCAAGGCCAAGTTAAGAAGATGCCTCTGGCTAGAAAGAGAACTGACTAAAGTTTCAAGTCAAGGAGGAAATCTTGGCCAAGAGTTATAATGAGTACTTAGCAAATATTTACCTTTCATCAGAAATAGCCACTTGGGTTTTTAAATCAAGGTTATTTATGATTTCCTCTGTAGCAAGATCACAATTTGAAATATACTAATGTGCTTTTCCTTTTGCATTTCCTTATCCAAGACATTTCACCTATAAAACCTGAGGCAAGAGGGTTTTTATTTTATTTTTAATTGCTTTTATTTTTTAAATATATGAGCAGCGGAATGCATTTACAATTCTTATTACACATATAGAGCACAATTTTTCATATCTCTGTATATAAAGTATGTTCACACCAATTCATGTCTTCATACATGTACTTTGGATAATGATGTCCATGACATTCCATCATCGTTGCTAATCCCCTGGCCCCTCCCTTCCCCTCCCACTTCTCTGCCCCATCTAGAGTTCCTCTATTCTTCCCATGTTCCCTCTCCCTATCCCACTATGAGTCAGTCACCTTATATCAGAGAAGACATTCGCCATTTGTGTTTTGGGATTGGCTAACTTCACTTAGCATTACCTTCTCCAACTGCATGCATTTACCTGCAAATGCCATCATTTTATTCTCTTTTGTTGCTGAGTAATATTCCATTGTGTACATATGCCACATTTCTTTTATCCAATCATCTACTGAAGGGCATCTAGGTTGGTTCCACAGTTTAGCTATTGTGAATTGTGCTGCTATAAACATTGATGTGGCTGTGTCCCTGTAGTATGCTGTTTTTAAGTCCTTTGGGTATAGATCGAGGAGACGGATAGCTGGGTCAAATGGTGGTTCCATTCCAAGTTTTCCAAGGAATCTCCATACTGCTTTCCAAATTGGCTGCACCAATTTGCAGTCCCACCAACAATGTATGAGTGTACCTTTCTCCTCACATCCTCGCTAACACTTATTGTTGTTTGTCTTCATAATAGCTGCCATTCTGACTGGAATGAGTGTCTTTTATTTTTTAAGGGTAAATTAGGATTACCATAGCTGGGATTCAAAGAGAAAAAAAAAGAGTCATTACTCACCTATGCTTTCCTAAATAGACCATTAAACCCCACTTTAGAAATGGTACTATTAAAAGGAACATTGGGACAACTCAGTTTGGAAATATCTACTTCTCCTGGAACTCTACAGAGAAAAGGGGGTCAGTATAAAAAGACCTCACAAATTACATCAGTACTGAAACTCATGGTGAAGAAATCCCATAACTTACATATAAATATAGTCATGGCCCAAAGTAGCAGAAACTAGCAGAACCAACATGAGATGCCTTGGCAGGCTGAGAATGAGCAGATTCAGTTGGTACCAAATGAGAATTGGAAGGTTCCTGAGCTGGCTAGTCTCAAAATTAGAAACAGAGGTTCTCTCTGACAAGGAGAGACCCCACTTGGAGTGAAACTTTGGCAAGCAGTGTGATGATCTCCTTTACCCTTGGGGGATATGTTCTGAGATCTCCAGTGGATGCCTGAAACCTCAGATAGTACAGTACTCTATACGTACTATTTTTTCCCTCTGCATACATTCCCTATGCACAATATTGTCTTCAGTATGTCCAAATTGTCATCATGAGTATTCTTCCACTTTGGGGCCATTAGGGTTATTTGAATTCAAGGACTGTGATAACCTTGGCAGTCAATCCATCTGATAACTGAGACAGCTACAGAGTAGGACTAATGGGTGGGAAGAGTATACTGCATGGATATACCATACAAAGGAATGATTCATGTCCTGGTTGGGACACAGCAGAATGGTGGGAAGAGTTTATTACACTACTCAGAGTGGTGTGTAATTTAAAACTTGTCAGTTGTTGATTTCTGGAATTTTTCATTTAATATTTTTGGACCATAATTGTCTTTGGGTGGCTGAATCCATGAAAAGTGAAGCCTTGGATAAGGAGGACTACGAGATTCAAATTCAACACTCTTAACACTGGGAGAGGTAGTGGGAGGCAGAGCAAGAAAGCCCCGGGACACCCTTCCTCTTCTTCTGAATTTCTCAAGTCATTTCTTATGTTTCATTTCCTGGTTGCCTGAAAGCACTTTTACTTTTTCCCTAACTATTATGGAAGAGTCTTCATAATAATTTGTGTTTTTCTTTGCTACCTATCCATCTCTTTAAATTTTTTGCCTGTCTTCATGTGTTCTCTAATTATAAAAAATAAGAAATATATGTATATAAGAAATATATCAATGTAGACTAAATAAATGTCCAAAGTTGACCTTAAGACTTTATTCATGCTGTTTTGCATTTTGGGTTTTCAATTCAAAGATAAATACACACATACACATATGTATTTCTATGATACCTATAAGACTAATATTTAATAGACTCACTTTGATATTTAATGAATCCTCTTTGGCTAGGCCTTTAAGTTACTCTCAGATGATCACTGTTACAATCTGTGATTAATATCATTGTACTCATATCTTTATATAATTTTGTGGGTTTTTGTAGAATGCATTCCAAAAAAAAAAAAAATACAGAATTCCTGGGTCAAAGAAGTTGACCAGATGTATCATTCCATTAATATGTATCATATTAAACTTTCAATCAACTAAGAGGAAAGGAGAAGAAAACATGCCATAGAAAAAGACAGAAAGGGTAGTGTGGAGAAGAGCCAGGTCTCAGTTTACTCTTAAAGCACTGAAGCCTCAAATGCACACATCATACCAAATAGGAAAACATTATCAGTTTCTTAGAACACTTCTAATTTCCCTTTTTGGGTCTATTCTACTTCTATTGATATAATAAAAA